ATTTTTTAAAGCATCTCGAGATGCTATGGAAAAATCTCAAGATGGTTTTAAAATATCTTGGAAGATCTTGAGACCATTCGTTTTCATCTTAAGATTTTCTGAAAGATCTTGAGATTGTCTCATAAGATCTCAAGATTTTGTCTAAAGTATTGAGATCTTTGGAATAAATCCTGAGATTTTTCCATTTTTAACGAAGCGTGAAGACCCCCGCTGGGGGTCATTATGATCCGCTATGTAACAGAGAAGTTTTTGACAAAATATTGGATATGTACCTCTAAGCTGTGAACAGCCAGAGAGATTAGTCCAAAGTGCTCTGCTCATTCCAATAATAATCTGCTCGCTGTTGATAGTTTGTATATGTTTTTCGTGTCAGTGGCCCTAGTAGCCGTTGCCAGCCTTGTTGCTGCCTGGCTGCTGGCTATGTTATGCCTTGTTGCATCTTCAATAAAGTAAAGTTAAGTAAAGCGATGATTTTTAATCTCCTTGAGTAAAGCAATCCTGTTTAAAACTTCCATGCCGTTTTGTAGATTGTCACCTTTCCCCCAAACTTGGCTGAGTGGCTGACGTTGGCCAAGTTGTACCTCTAAGAAGTTTCTGTCCGACTGCGACAGAGTGTAATCTTGAAGTGGAAGTATTGAATGGACTGTCCTTGGGAATACACGTGAAAGTAATGCTGTCCTTGGATAGGCTTTCTGCAGGGAAACGGAATTAAGCGCATGCAATCCGGCAGAAGCGCCTGGAAGTGTTAGCGGGGGAAGGTCAAGTTGCTGAATTTGACAGGTGTGCACTCAGTGATTGCTCACTTGACCTTTCCCTTCATCCTGCTTCCCAGGCGTCTTTCACACAAGTAGGTGGGCAGGGAAGCTGTCAGAGTTATCCCCATATCCTGGCTATGATCACTGATATACTGTATATTATGGGTACGACATAAGTCCTCAGAGACTCTGATTGCAGGCAGCTTCAATCTGATGACTGATTTTCATCTCAGGAATCTTTCAGAAAAATAGTTTGCAGAAAAGTTGATGAAACTTTTTATCTTGCACAAGCAGTATGTGTGGGGCAGGGAATGCTGTTGCTAAGATCTGATAAATTATGTATAATGACACGAAAGTTTCAAGAAAATTCCATAAAACTCATTGCAGGTAGTTTATGATGTGTAAAATACCAGAAGATATAACCTTGATTATACGTTCTGCTATACCAAGAATAAATTGACAGAATATATGCACGTAGAAGATCCTGGGAGACATGTAATTATTGTAATGTAACCATTAGTTGTATCAAAGTGCATCTGTGATGATGTTTATTAATACACAACACAGGTTCTGAAGACAATAACAAGTTTATGGCAGCAGCAATAAAAAGGTGGAAGGAAACAAACAATGTTCACCTGTACATCACTCAAACATAAATGCTCCCAACAGGAATATTGCCATCTGTTACACCATGCACTGCTAAACACGTTTCACTCCAATTTGCGCTGTTTATCTCGGTTCAATTTATGCCATTTATGAGCTCTATTCTAAGCAGCAGTACTTCAGAGCTTGTCAGCCTCTACTTTTCAAAGTGCCATCACGGCGGCTTCGGATTGACGTCTTCACAATTATCAGCTTTTCGGCTTACCGCCACATGTGTGTGTCTGCTAATGACATGGAATATGTCAGTCAGCAGGAGAGAATCCTCTCATCATCAGATCAGAACTTCCGTTTGTTAACCACGTAGGCACACATCCTCTGTATGGGGGTAGACCGTTTGATGAGGGGAGAGGAGATGGATTATGAAACTTGACCCAAGTCTCCTTGTAGGCAATATGTCAGCTGACGAAAAGTAGTGGATGCTACTAGAAACGTCTGACAGTTTTCAAAAGCCTATTCAGTTGCTCAAGTAACAATTTCCTTGTGAAAAGTAGGGGATGCAACTTGAAACGTGACAGTTTTCAAAAACTATCCAGTTGCTTGAGTAACAATTTCCTTGTGTATCTCATTACCTGGATGTCTAATATTCATTGACCAATACGTCAGCTGTTCTGAGTTTACACTGGTAAATCTGTCACTAAATATGAGAATGTTAGCCTGTGATAGTAACTGGTATGTACAGGCCTCCTGTATGGTGACAAATGGTGATTCCCCTAGATCAAACGTAAGGGCATGCCATCACTGGGATATTCAAGTTGAAAATGACAGCAATGTTGGTTTCACTTTGGTCGTAAATTGACACGCACCAGCTTCAATTACCTCTGATAAACTGTATAATCAACCTGAATACTGAAGACTCGTTGGGGTTTCGAGTTCTAAAGGCTGCTGGCCACATTCCAAAAGCAGTTTGCATCCGAAAGTGTCTCGCTTTGTAGCCACCTGCAGGAAAATGGGAAATAGGAAAACGTCGCAACAGGCGGTGAATTGAAAGTGTTCAGAATCTTGCAGCGGAATTTGTTTGCCAACTTTTTTTGACTGAAATCTGAAGAGACACTGGGTGATGCTTAAACATGCATAGAATGTTTGAAGACCCCAGTCGTAAGCTGTGCACTAAGCCCTATATTTAAGAGTCACGCAAGGCTGCCAGCTCTAACACTGTTGTGTCTGGGGACATCACTCTTTGAGGAAATGCTGATCGCTGATGGAATTGTTGTCCGCATTATAGTGAAGGGATGAATGGAGACATTTTGAACTAATGGGTAATTTCCTTTTAATATTGCATGGCCTGGTAACCCTGCCTAGACCTTTGCCAGCTAAGCAATAATTCCTATTCCTTAACTTCTTACAGGTTCTTAGATCTAAAGATACCACAGAAACGTGTTCAGAAATTTATCTTTAAGACTGTTTCAATGCAGATGGATATCTCTTGTGATATGCAGTTACATCATGTAGCACATTCGTTTGGGGAGCAAATTGCATTTTGAGCCATTGGGCATGAATCATTCACCGATTGAATGTCACACAAGTGTACAGCATCAATTTATAACAAGAGATAATGGCAGATTCTGACATCTATGACAAAGACAGGACCTTAACCTGTGAGGTCTACTGAAACAATAGGCCATCGGTAAGGGATGGGAACAGATGGCTCATTTGGTAGCTAATTTGGCAGGCGGTCAGTTGGGAGGGGGGCAGGCTAATTACATTGGGTCCACTCCAATTGCACAGACCGACTTGTCAATATTACCATCCCACAAACATTGATTTTGGGTAAATACCAGAACTTTATCCAGATTGTAATACGCTCCAAGAACTTCTATACGATTTGATATCATCATGTTATCAAATCATAGGTGAGCGAATCTGCTTATCTCTAGTTTCTTGAATACCATATGCATTTAATATTGATTGCCCAAAAATATGACATTATTGGGAGTGGATGTCATAAAGTTTATGCTTTTCCTATTGTTAAGTTAATAAGAAAAAAAGGAAAATGCTGATGCCTCGACTTTAACTTCCTAAAGCACAGCTGATGTGACTTTTGGCAGCAGTTTTGCATTTACATTACGTTTACATTTGTCTTAAAACATACTAGTAATAATTTTTAACATTGTCCATTGTATTTTCATTGTATCGGAATTCAGCAGGGAATTTCTAAATTATACGTGCCACTGTTTTGATTCCCATGTATTCTTGTGGGAGGACATTCAAATAAATGAAAGTTATTGAAAGAAATTGCTCTTAATAAAGTTTCCTGGGTGACGAAACAACAGGTTTGTCTCATCTCCTTTTCCCATCTGGGATGAAAAGTACCCCTCTATGCAGGCGGGATAAAAATCAATATCTAAACACAGGTTTGTTGGAGGGGAGAGACAGAATCAGGCCATGTACCACTCCCCGCCCCACACTTCATTTACCCCAGTCCTCCTCATTATCATTGGTCACCTGGAGCAGGGCTGGAAATACTCAAAGACTTAGAGGTTTAAAAGCTCTCTTCAACCTTGCATATGTCCTTAGCGACAATTGAGGCCGTGCAGCTATTTCTGATGGCTACCTGCATCTTACGTGCACTGGTCCAAGAGTATATGTGGATTTTTATTTACTGCATGGGCTGCTAACACATTTGTAGTTTAAAGAAATAAAGGCAATGGTTTCTGTATTTGATATGATGCATACTTCTTAAAGTCTGAATGGTGCAGGTAAAATTTGTCTGGTGCAGGTAATTGCGAATATTACCTGCACCAGTGCATGTATGCAGAAAAAGTATTTTGAGCCCATTGGACGGAATATGATTGTCCAATATGAGATATGTTTCCTGGATTTTGATAGCAACAAGCACATCATATATCAGCACAGGTTGTCTCTGCTGTCAATATTCTTGTAGAGGCAGGATTTTGCCACCAGAAGTTGCTTGTTGTCTTCTGGGAGGTGCTTCTTATAATAGTGATGGATGCAACTGTAGGCTTCTTTCTTTCTTATTCTAATCCATACTGAGAAATATCAGCATAGTCTTTACATGTGTTGTGAAGTTGATGTAATAAGAAGCTATGTTGTGAAATTGCTGTAAGAAGAATAATTAGAAGTGAGAAAAATCCATCTCTAACGACTACATGAGGTGGTATGATAAATGGACAGCCTTTACCGGAAGGAAGAAAGCTGCTGAGCTGGACAATTCTCCAGACAATGCCTGCAAGATTGCCTCCTGTCATACCGACCCTCACTAAATCAATAAGGAATGACGGATGACTGTTGTGATGCCACTGATTTCCTACTGGTGTCCATCTATCAGTGTTTATAACCAGAATCAGACGTTCCATCTTGCTCATCTGTCAGGAGATTTCCACATGCTTGGTGGCATTTTGGTTCTTCCGGTTAAACCATGGGTTGGTATAGGAATTTAGGGAGTTTTTTTTTAAGCTTTGATGTGTTTTGTTAAAATAAGCTTTTATTACATATCGGTTCTTCTCATTCATATTGCAAGTGACAAAAAAAATATATTTCATTACGAAATCTCAAGATTTATTGTCAAGTCATGAAAATTTTATTGATTATATAATCGTTTTCCCTTCACTCTGTCTTCTGCAGAATTCCAAGTCATCCAGCCGCACCGTCCTGGCTACTCTGGTGGTTCAAACCATGACGTTCTGGAAGACGGTTCTATACCTGCTCATGTACGTCCCCCCTATGAGCGATGTCGCCATGTTAGGGACCACCAACTGGCTGGAGCTGGTTTTCCTCTTCATCATTCCCAATGGCCTCTGGGTGCTCATCCCGGGAGCTACCATGTGGGAGATGTGGGGGAGGGTAGCATCACAGGGAAAAACCTCCCAAGGAAAGAAAGGGAAATAGTATAAACAAGGAGGTTCCTGGTACAAAACTCATCATTTTTACATCTTTTACCTTTGAGAAAAATTTAATCACATGATTGTTTTTAAACAGGTTATCATCATGTTTTGGTAAACTGTGTATCAGTAAAGCTACTGGTAATCCTGTAATACACCACACATAAAATTTGGTTTTAGATTACCACTGGTAAATATCTTTTGCAACTTGTTTGAAATACTTGCCTAGTAGATAAATTTCAGTGTGACTTTTGCAATACTATAAGAAAAGTATGCTTTAAATTTTTCATACCTGGGATAAAATGAAATAAATAGAAATGCAGCTTACGAAAATTCTTTGAAAACATTCCATTGCATAATAGATCAGGTATTACTATCAGGGCAGCAGGACAATCCATTTTGTTGATGAAATATTTTATGAGTGAAAATTTATAATACCAGGAAATTGCAGACAGTTGGCATGCCACCAGCCTTTGGCTTTATTACTTACATTTCACATCTCAACTGATGCCAAATATTTCTAGTGCCAATCTAGATTTATATATAAGAGTAATAATAAAACTATATATATAATACACTACATCAAGGACTTAAATTTTTCCTGTACAAGTTAATGACACTTTTAAGAGGGACAGTGTGATTTGCAGTGATACAAACGTCAGTTGGCACACTAGTTATATTAATCATAGACAGGTGCACTGTAGATGTCATTATCAAATCCTCCAGCAAGGTGGACGTGAATAATTCAATAAATGACAGTACAGGACTACAGCTTTGTCTCCAATCAATTCCTGTGAAAGACCAAAGTCAGTGGCAGTTCAGACTAATGAAAATGTGGCAAGGGACATCTGAGGTATATTCAAGGCCAAGCAGTGTATCTGAAGAATCCTCTTGATTTTCCATGAAATGTCTTAATTCAGATCCGAAGCCTCATGTAAAGTGTACACGGAATGTTTTTATATCATTTTAAATTGATATAGCGAAATTTGTGCAAGATGAGTTATATTTTCCATTCTTCCAGAACTCTTATAAACAAATGTAAAGTTAAACATGTGTTTTGTGTATGCACTATGCACTGACTTTTCACAATTTCCGGTCATTGCCTCAGAGCCCCTCCCACAAAACTGTGGTTAGAAATAAAAATGATGACCAAAGGCAATCTATTTTAAGCAGCTTACCTTTTATTGCCAAGAGTTAGCCCTGGCGGGTGTGTATGAGTTACAACCTTTGAGGCCATTGCTGAACTTCTATTTGCCAATCAATAATTCACAAGGATCAGACTGGGACTAATAATTGATGTTATAAGCTATAACAATAAAGATCAAGTGTCGCAAAGGATTGGAAATGTTTGGTCATCAAATATTCCATCACAGATTTTATAACTCGGCATTTGATACCGAGGGATATGGGGACATGGACATTTAGGCCGATTGGTCATTGCCATGGCAGAAGGACAGGGTACCTGGAGTCAAGGAATGGTCCATTTGAACTGGGGGGATTTCATGAAAACTAACATTTTTCCTAAGTCATGTTATGCATGATGAACATGATGAAGAAATTTTAGTGCTTCTTGAAGTAACTTCAAGAATAATTTGGTTTTCCCAGTTGATATGGTACCACACAGTTTATAAGCCATTTTCCACGCACAATATACTGATGATTTTGCATTGGGATCCTATCAGTTTCTTAAAGGTACACTGTAATTATCTAACACATTCTGGTCTACACATGTGACTAGATATATATTCCATTGAGCCAATACATATGTACCTGTTAACTGCGGCCATGTTATGTTTCTCTCCATAAATGTTTGGTTTGCTCAAGGAGGTTTAAAAGAGAACCTCCTTGGTTTGCTGGAATCCCTGTCACTGATCAGGTCCCTCCCACCCTTTCATTCACAAGTTCAGGGTGGGCTGAAACATTCCATCACACCGCCAGTCATGAAAAATAGATGGGGCTGGGCATGAATTTTTCAGGCCACACCATGCATGGTGGGATAGCTGACCTGAATGTCAGGGTGCTCTAAATGATGATGGAGGGTGATTTACATCCGACCATCTGTCTGTCTCTTGACCAGTCAAATGGATTGCGGAAAGACGCAAAAGCCCCCACCGCGGCCTTGTCCAATCAGCACTGTCCATATTGCATGCCTTCGAATTCTCTGAAGGCAGGGAACAGGATGCTGGTCTAAAAATAGCAATCTTTACTTCAAACATGTTGGAATTTTTCCATTTGTAGGTGTGTGCGTCAATCAGCAAAATCAGCTGTCCAATATGTCAATTTCTTTTCCAGGAAGAAGACTCTTTTTCCACGAAACACTTAGAAAATTGGCAGGTGTTGGTAATGGCTAAGTCAGTGCTGCTGTAGTTAAATTCCTACCTGTCGCTCACTATGCGCATTTGTTACACCTGTGGTCATACCTGCTGTGAATGTGCTTCTAGCTTCTGTTCACGGCATTACTGTATCCTGGGTATTCCCTGTTCAGTCTTGCTATTTAATATAGGCTTCATTACATCAATAATATGCGGATGTTGCATTCTGCTTGTGTCTCTTATGGTTCTTGTACAAGTTGTTAAGTGAAAATATAATCCCTTCAGTTGACATGACGGTTACATAACATTTTCAAGAGGACTTGATAAACAAATTGAAGTACAGAAGCAAGCAATAACTTCTGCAAATCTCAGTCTGAAGGAGGTTACTGTATGTATCCCGAAAGGGGTAGAGTCAAAACAGTGGCACCTGTTGTTTACTTATAAACAGATTGGTGTAACAATTTGCATGATTGCTTCCTGCTGTCATGGCTAGCAAAAGGACTTACCATTTCTCCTACCACTCCAAATAAAACTAAAATCGTATTTCATAATAAAATGATGAATTGGTGACATTGAGGAAACTGTGACCCCATTCTTTATACCTTAGTTGTTGGCATGATTATAAGTTTTGTCGGTGGGAGTAATTATATTCTCATCAATATCCCAGGGAAAATGCAGTGACACGAGGGAGCACTATGACGTGACTCCCCGCTTCCAAATTATTTCCTAGTGCAGCTAATCAAGCAGGTATTATTTTCCTCAATCATGCTTTAGATTAATTGGATTTTGATGGCAGAAATCCCCAATTTTGCCAAGTTGATTCCATTTTGATTTTCCGACCACGCCATGTGCATCCAGGCTGCTAATGAAAATATCATTGTGTAATGATTAGTTTCAGAAGCAATTTATTATTAGGCAATCCATGCGGATTTATCCAACTACTAACCACTGAGTGGCAGTTGCATTTCAACCTGCACTCTGTCCTTAGGAATTTTCCATCTGTCTGTCTAGTTCCAGACGTGTTTGTTGTCCAAAGTGCAGTATGTTGCATATTTCTGTGAATAATGAATGTAGTCAACAAAAGCGTCAGCTCCCCATGGTTTTATTTTCCAGACTGGTTTATAGGAGTACTTTTACAACTGCTTGCCATAAACGATGTTACTGCAAAATGTCAGCAGCTAGAAGTAGTGTGTCTCTACATGTGGCATAAACATAAAGTGACTTTCTGATTGTAAAAGTTGCTTGCTGGCAATAAAATTGTGAGTTAGTCAGAGCGTTGTGTTGCAAGATTTGGTCATGCAGGTCTCATGTATGTAGTATTTGCTATGTAGCTGCCAAAATGATAAATCGCTCCTTCCTCTGAGACCTCAGAACTTGATGTTGAAATTGCCGTTGTTGCTCCGTCATAGTTGAATTCCCGTTTGTTAATCATACCCTTGAGAGAGGCTTAACCTACAAAAGACCTCCTTCAATTGAAAGTTGCTGGTTTGGGGCATGGCTGTGTTGCCTGTTGGGACTCTATAGAAGATCAATTATGTTTCTCCAAACTTAGAGGGTGATTTTTGAAAATCCTTGACCCAGATCAAAGTCTGATTGCACAGGACTCGACATGAAATAGCGTTTTCTAAGTGTGTTAAATGTTGCAGCATGCGAATCAGAAACCAATCTCGACCCTTCCAAGGATATAAATGGCACACAGAAGTGCAGTATTAATCAGGCAATGCCAAGTTAACTAAATGTCGGGAGTGTTGCTTAACATGGTGAATAGGGAAGTAACGAGGGTCAAATTGAACGGTGGAGGGTAGAATTGATGAATTCAGCTGACGTCATGTGATAATCCGCGCAACATTCACCAATCGATTCTCCTCCACACCATGTTCAAAATGGCGGAAAATAGGATTGTGACGTCATTCACCCTGTGCCCTCCATCTTGACCAAACATCCTGTTGAATATCACCATCTTTTTACCTCCATGATATCACCTCGCATTTTTTTGGTGGGAAAAGTTCATGTCTTGCCAGTTAGTGTTCGATTTCTTTTACATTTCTGTCATTGGATTTCTGTCATTGGCAAGGCCGTTTTCTATACCTATGTCTGCTAATCAGAACTCTGACATGATGAAGTTAAGGGTCAGTCAATTTCATAAACAAATGAACATTTCAATGCTCTTAGAAGCAGACTATAGGGTCGAGATCTCAAGGGATTCTGATGTTGCTTCTTCTATAAGAACGTCAGGAAAAAATCATTCAAAACTGGCGTGAAAACGATACTTATCTGTTGTTTTGTTGGGGTCTCAAATCGACAAGACTTTGGCACTCTGGAGATCAAACTGTGCCCGGATCCTGCTTGCCAACCAAGTCATGAATCACCCTGATTGTTGCTGATTGTGATAACAAATTTGTTAGAAGCTGCCGGTAACGTTGACTCTTATCTATTAGACCGGAGTCTACCGTTAATCATGACCAAAGAAGACGTAATTGCTTACATTGAGCCCGGATTAGGATCACACGTTCTTAAAACTCTGAAAACAGATGAACGCTGTCTTGAATACCAATCCATTTCGGTAGTCCTTCCGTCGGGTGAATCTTCTGAACAGCTTCTTGTGTTAGTGAGGAAATTTATCACCCATATGCCTCTTTATAGGTTATACACCCCCTGGCCTCCACCTCCCCGTCTCTATTTTGGTTTCTCCCTGAATTACCGCAAAAATTGAGATGTATAAAAGAATTCTGAATGGTGTCTATAGTGATGAAAAGAGCGGCCTTGCTTGTATGATAAGTCAATTGTTATTCTAACAACGGAAATGTTGAGAAGATAAGCATTGATCGTGTTATACATCTAACTAGATTTGTACAAAGAAACTGTCATTTCCTCGGATGCCTTTACGGATAACAAAGTTCAAGTGCAATGCCGTTTTTATTGATTTCACGCAGACGCGTCTGCTTCGCAATCAAAATCTTGTCACTCTTCCCTCTCACCAGCCAGACCTCATCGTGTATCCATTCCACATTTTATTGCGAACAAAGTTTTACTATCATGTAGTTTTGCACAGTAAAAGCTGGAGGCTTGAGTCGTGTTTCAAACCTCCGCCCACACACCGATGCGGGCCCACGGGCACAGCGGGCAACTATCCCGCACAGCATCTGTTGATCCGCGGTTTGTCGTGTGTCTCCTCCCACTAACAGCGAGCGCTAAACGGTGTGAATCCACACACCAGGCCTAACAAGTATTCATTAGACAACCTCTCCAAGACGATAGCGACTGGGGCAGCGATGTGTACCGACTTGCGCCTTTGATTGCACAGCAGTCGTGTCAGTCCCAAGAAAGTAGCCATCCGTTTTCAGCCCAGCCTTCCGGGCTGCCCATTTGTTGCTTATTTCAGCAATGCTTCCGAGAGTCAGGGACACCCAAAAAGCAAGCGTGGGCCGTCAGACCCGGCAGATAGGGACTGTTCGTCGG